AGAATGGTCACCACATTGATAATAACCATCACCTTAAAAAGTTTATCATTACCATTAGTAAATATTTGATATTACATATACTCTTGATGATTGTCATGGTTTGTGTCTAGTTGTGCCTCCAAAGTCTCATGCTGTCTTTGAGGTGGGCTTCTAGAGTTTGTGATTAATTCATGATCCAATGCTGGGTTTATGCATGTGACTGCTATACCCACCCTGGGACAGATAGCCTGAATACAACAGAAGGAAGGGACAGGCTTGCTAGCTGCTGCAGCTGCTGCTCCTCTTTTTGTTCTTTGTTGTCTTCTGGTGCCATGAACAGCTGCCCTCTGCCATGTGCCACTCTGCCTTAGAGCCAGGTGAACATGGACTGAAACCTCCACTAACTGTGAGCTAAATAAACCTCTCCTTCCTTAATTGTGGGGTGTCGGGTATTTTGTCCCAGCAACAAGAGAAAAGTAACAAGACTATAATATTATGCATACTATTATTGCTACATTTTACAGACGAGTACACTGAGGCACAGAAAGGTTAAGTAACCCATACTACTGGTAAGTGGCAGGACTTGGTGTTAAATCCAGATCATCTGGCCTATGCGTTTATTCTATTTAACAGCATCCCCAGAGAACATTTCAAAGCAAAATTTAATCTGAGTTGTATCCACTTTGATTTAGTGCACTGATTTTTAGTCTTGGCCTTGCTCCAGCAGTTTGCAATTCACAAAGGTTCTTTAACCTCAGCCCTGTCACTCAGATGCTGTTTGACTGCAGGCAATTCCTGACTGTGCTTCAGTTTTCCCATCTGTAAAGTGGGGGCGATCATGGTACTTGTTGGGGGTGTTAATTGGGATAAAGCACATGCAGGGCTGAGCCCCATACAAAGCCCATAATGAGCATTCAATAAATGTTCACTGTCGCTGTTGTTATGGTTACTATTCATATTTCATGAGCTGCAAACAAGCCCGTGAGTTAGGTAGGATTTATTACCCTCATTTCGCAGGTTCAGAAACTGAAACTCACAAGACAGAAACTAGCCCAAGGAACAGCCCAGAAAATGGAAATGCCAGGCTTGGAAAATCTGCCAACTGTCAGCCTCCTTCCCTGTCCTAATACACACTCCTACCTCCCTTCTCTTTCCCAGGAGGCACCCATCTAAGGGGAACTTTTAAGACAGAGGAAGCTGGGCTCAGGGAGGAACTGGAGAGGATTAGGGAAGGCTTAAAGGCACATACAGTTTCCTGTTTAGGGATCAATGAGCAGTTTACCTTCATCCCCTGAACAAAGGCCAGGAGAAAGGACTGAAAGCACTCACAAAGGCCT